GAAGAATAACTTCCTGACAATCAAAATATAATTTAATTATTCGATATTTGGTGAAATTTCACCCCATTTTTTGCCATTCTTTATTGCTAAACCTCATGTCTATTGAGAAAGTTTGCTTTTCCGAATTGTTGCAAATATCATATGCTTCATTTTACAATAGATTTCCTATGTGTTTCGTCTATGTTATGACTTGAGTCTATTATATGCATGTTTGTTAAGCCTATATTATTGAGTATTATGTAAATGTTTGCGTTCAAGTGCATAGAGTACTCCTCGTTTTTTGAATGTGAAGTGCTTACTTAAGTTATCGAGGCATTCTTCCGACATCTTGTCGCTTTGCCGCATCCGGCCTCTTCTTTTTAATGACAAAGGTGTGAAAAAGCTGCAACACAACAATAATGATTAGGCTTTCAGCTCATAATGGTGACCAAATAAAGCGTCTTCTCATCCTACATGCGTCTGGGAGACGCGATTCAGTGATTTTGATAGCATAAGGACTTCAACTTTTTCAGGGTTAACCGTGGCCTTGTTAACATTTAGCTCCGAAGACCATCATGCTGCTTTCGACGGAACCATGAACTCTGGAAGGGAGAGTTTCATCGCAAAAATGCTCACATCCCTATCAAATGGACCGGAAGCGTAACAGTGGATAATGGAGAGTATCGAGAGTCGATACAAGTTGTTGTTTGTGTTGGCAAATGATGACTTCTCCAATAAACAACTGATGCTGGTGTGGAGAACAAGTGGCAATTCATCCAGTCAGAAATTATGCTTTTTTGTCTAACAGAGTCTCAGGGGCCTGGGCTCTGGTCTGGCCAAGGCTCTTGCGTTCATTCGGCAGCCGAGGCATTTGACGATGCCAAAAGAATACAAGACATTCACAAGTCAACTAAACCTTTCCCCAACTATGGTGGCTTTTATTGGTATAGACTTTTCTGTGCTCTAGCCAGCCTCCGAGTTTCACTCCGCTCTGACAGTACGATCAAGCTCAACGAGCAAAAAGAAATCGGGGATGCTGTTTTCGGACTGAAAGGATCCGAGCCTACTCATAGATTAGTGAGGAGGCAGATGACGCTCGCGCATGCAAAATGTTAGTCCATCGCGTCATTATCACACGCATGTCTAACTGTACAGGAGGTGTGATTAGTGTAAGCGAGTACAGAAAATTACGGGGGCAGTTGAGAGGCTGAAAATTGTTAGAGCATTCATACTTCCTACCAAATGATAATCCCAACACTTAACAGCAGTGACGACTATCTTTTAACTGTCGCTAAGTGGGGTAGGATTAGCCGGCCGACCTCGATGGTATTAACATTATTTAATTCAGCATCCCACAAAGATAAGGGTCCAATAGTCCGGCTTAAGTGGATTCCCAATTCGCAAAATTCTATAGATTTCAGTCATCACAACCCTCTTAACAGCATGACACATAGACTGGAATGCAGATTTAACGAGTCAATTCGGTATGCGAGGCTGATAACCC